GAGAGCCACAGAATCCAAGTCAAGCCCACCCTAGCTGCTGCTCCGTGTCCCAGCTGTCAGGCCACATTGCCCATTGCAGTCACAGCCAGAGTTTCATGTCAGAACTGAGGGACAATGGCTTCTAGGGTGTGTGACCAAACCAAGAGAGGCCCCTTGGGCACCAAGAGATGTTCTATGTCACTTCCTGGAAAACCAACAGCTCTTGTAGCAAGAATTTACTTCAGGCTCACATGTAAACAGGCCCATAATAACAGTTAATCACCATGGCCATTTATTGAGCTCCTACTATGCGCCAGGCAGCAGCGTGCTGGGCTTCTCTCTGACATCATCTTAATCCCCACAACAACCCTAGGAGGTAGCTATTATTGCTACTATTTTTAGACAAATTGAGGCTCAGGAAGATTAAGCGTCTTGCTCAAGGTCACACGGCTAGTAAGTGATGAAGCCAGGACTGACCTGAGGTCTGTTGGACTCTGAAGTTTGGGCTTTTGTCTCTCAAATCCTCGATGATTATGAAAAGAGAGATCCTTTCCATTTAGCTCTAATCATTTGCTCTCTGGACAGCACCGACTCTGACCAGCTGTGATGCTGAGGCTTTGCGGACATACAGATGACTAAAACGACCTTTCTCCTGAAGTTTACCTAACAGGAGAGGAAACAAACATGGCCCAGTCCCTGTGGTGGAAGGGATGGGTGAACCAGCAGGTCAGAACCAAAGATGGCAGGAGGAGCCAGGCAGCCCCAGGGCAAGGGGATCGTCTCACCACTGACTCTGCCCTCACGCAGAGATCGCTTAAGCTCCTGAATGACATCCTTGTGAATGAAGTTGAGAAAAGAGGAAGGAGGAAGAAATATTAACATGGTTGAGAACCCACCTGCCATGTGTCTGGTGCACTGTGCATGGTATCTCATTTCATCTTGCACCTTCCCTGAGAGGTTGGGACTGGTAGTGTTACTTCATAGATGAGGGCAGTCAAAACTAAGGAGGTTAAGAAACAGCCAAGGGTGCCAGCAGTTAGCGTAATGGCTATGTCGCTGGACTCCCATGTAGTCGACCATGGTTCGAGTCCCAGACCCAGTGGCTTAAACTCACACCGGATGTGTGTGCGTATGTGGCCAAGATCCCGAGAGGAGAATGGAGGAGAAAGGATTGTGGTGTGGCCATTTCCCCTGGGGGGTGATTTCTCGCTTTCTGTCTCTCTGTCTTTCTCTGTCTTTCTGGAGAGCGCATGCCAAGGTAGGGGCCAGCAGGTGGCATGGTGGTGAAGACGCTGGACTTCCACGTGGCCAATCACATGGTAGCTGGCTTTCACTTTCTCTCTCCTATAAGCACATGTTCACATATAGCACATGAGCACGTATAACAAATTTTAAAATAATAAAAATGAAAAATTAAATTAAATGAAAAATCCTTTAAGAAAGAAAGAAAGGGCCAAGGTCACCAGGCACTACCCGGCAGAATGTGCATGCAGACAGCCTGGCTCTGACTTGGGGCTCTCTCTATAACACAAGGCTATCTTCCTAGAAATGTGTGGAAATTCAAGAGTTGTGGACACTATTCAACCCAACACAGGGTCAAAAAAGCTGAAGACTTTAGAGAGAACACAAGGGGGTATGGTCTCATTCCTGCCACAGAAATGCCAGGTGCGTTTGGTCCTGCTAAAGTCACAGTCACAGTCGTCTTGTCAGTGTCTCAAATGTGGAGAAGGGGTGGGGGGAGCAGAGAGCATAAACGGGAAAAAGAGATGCTCAGGGCATCCAGAATGGGTCAGGGTGTGCCAAACCCAAAGAGATCTGGAATAGACTTCCGACATCCACCCTGGACATGCCCTGAAACCCTGACCTCCTCCCTACAGTTCCAATTTTCCAAAGTGATGATCTTGGTCGAGTAAGAAACTCATCCTGTCCTCACCACGTAGCTTGGCCAGTCCAGCCGGCTCCTACCTGGCCCCCTCCCTGCCTCCTCCACCTCTCAGGGACTCCGGGTAACAGGCCCGGGCGCCTCTTCCTCCCCACGCGCAGCGGATGAGTTGCTGAAGGAGACCAGGAAAACTGGAAGGACTTGAGTCCCTTTGCCAGTGGCGCAAACAAACATGCCAGCGGTAATAACAGGGCAAAAGAGCGGACCCGCCTGAGACTCAGGGAGGAGGAGGGCAGGCTGTCAGCCCACAGTCCTATGCCAGTGCACCCCTGCCATCAGGGCCTTGGTCAGCAGCAAGAAAGACCCTAGGAAAGCAGGGTTCTCTACATTCTTGTGTGAGTGCTTTCTGCTCACCTCCAAGAAGACTGCCCTCCAATACTAACCCCTGCGTATTTGTTCTCTGCCACCATCCTCCCACGGAGGTTCACACCAGAGTTTTTGGAAACATTATGCAAGGACCTCTGGGGTCCACCCCGCAAGGCACCATTGGTGCAAGGAGGAGGAGGGATGAGGTTCTAGAAGTCTGGGCTTGGAGATGACAGCTACATCTGGGAACAGCCCTTCCAGCTTCGTGGCCAAGTGGGAAGGAATGTCATTCTCTACCAAGGCCAGGCTGCTTCTGGTGTGAGCCCTGAGGAGGACCCCTCTACAAAGTTCTCTCTGTTAGGGTTTAGAATGTCAACTAGCATGCGTGGACTTGGGGAAATTTATCAAAGAGAAAGGAGTAGAGGAAAAAGAGCATAGGATCCATGGTTTGGCAGGAAAAATCACAAAATATACACAAATGCAATATGGTTCATTAAAGTGGGATATCAGGGCCAGCAGGTGGTGTGGAGGTTAAGGCACTGGATCCCACATAGCCAACTTCACTGTTTGAGTCCCCAACCTGGCAGCCAGGTGTGTGTGCATGTGTGTCCAAAATCCCGAGAACAGAATGGAAGAGAAGAAACTGCAGTGTGGCCATGCCAACCCCTTGCCCAGGTGGGGGTGATTTCTTGCTTTCACTCTCTCTGTCTCTCTCTACAGAGCACATATACCCTATGGCAAAAATCTTAAATAAAGAAATTAATAAAAATTGGGACCAGCAATTAGCATAATGGCTATGTCTCTGGACTCCCATGTAGTTGACTGCGGTTCGCATGCCGGACCCGGTGGCTTAAACTCACACCAGGCATGTGTGCGTGCGTGCCCAAGATCCCAAGAGGAGAATGGAGGAGAAGGGATTGCGGCATGGCCATCCCCCCTGGGGGGTGATTTCTCGCTTTCTGTTTTTGTCTCTGTCTTTCTGGCAAGCGCATGTGCCCTATAGCAAAAACCTCTCAAAAAAGAAATAAATAAAAATAAAGCAACGCATTGCTGTATAAGTACAAAGTCCTTAAAAACGTTGGCTGTAGTATTTAATAACATTGCTCTCTAGTCTGACTTTGGCAGGAAGGGTGACCAGCTGCTGCAGTGGAGTTTGCCCCGGCTGTTGAGAATGCTGGGTATGTTGGAAGTGACAGACACTTTTCCGCTCTGGTTTAGGCAAAATCTGATTTCCTGGTCCATAGTGATCGAATACAAAAATACAAAAATAAACTCTGAGCTCAGAAAAAGTTATCTGGCAGTCTTGTCTATTCTTTGAGGAAAGTTGTATAGCTCCTGATGAGAAATCCTGTTTAAGCATGAGTCAGACCCTGGAAAGAAGAAAACGGCCCAAGACGCAGAGACCTGTGACCTATCCCCGTTTATTGATGTTTTGACAAAATGCTTGGGGGCTGAGTTGGGTGGACCGAGGATGCCATAGCTTGTCATCTAAGGAGACTGGGAGAGGCTGGATGGTGGTTCCGGTTGGATGGGTCCCCACCCCACACGAGACAGGTATGCACGCGCATGAATCATGGGCCCCTCTCGTTCATAACTGGTTAGTTCGTCCCTGCTGCGCCACTCTCAGCTTTCACGCAGTAGGGGCCCAAAAGGCCACGGAGGGCATGACTTCCTGCAGTCCCCCTGGATGAAGTGGACTGATTTACCAGCTGACGGGCTTTCTAACTACGGACCGTGTTTACAGACTCATCCTTGACTTAACCACGCCAGTCCTTCCAGTGAGAGACAGAATCTGCTCACTTCTCTTCCTGTTTGGCTGCCTCAACGGTGCCCCTCCCTCCTCCCCTACTCTTTTACCTCCTTTTCTTTTTTTCAGGGTCATCTGAATTCCTCTTCCTCTTATTGTTCCTCAGTTTCCCTGTCCTCATCCTCGTGGTCACTTCCCTTTGGCTCCCAATCTAACCGGCATCTTCCTCTATGCTCTTCATGTCACAGGCACCTGCCACCAGGAGTCACCAATGCCAAGGGTCCTGAGCTAACGCACAGGAAAGGCTGTGATGAGGGAGCCATTGGTCAGCAGGGCCGCCAAGGCCGCAGGCTCAGCAGCTTCTTTATTCCTCACGGCATCACTAGCCCCTTCTCTGAATTATCCGAGCCTTTAGAAATCATCTCATACTTAACATCTTTCTCTGAATACTCCTGGCAGCCTTCCTTCCTGGTCCCCCAGGCTCCCCTCCCGTGTTATCTACACCTTGCTGGTGCTGACATGCCCTGGACTGGAAGCCCTTCCAGGTGTGGTTTCACCTTGTCACAGGTGGGCGACAGAGAGAGGCAGTAGGGCCACAGCCTTGTGTGTTCTCGGTTCAGCCTGCTCGGTTGCCTCCCCGGCCTTCTAGCTCCATCTATCCCCGCTATCGAGCGGAGCGACGCGACTGCTGACAACCAGAGACGGGGCTGTCTCCTTCATTCCTCAGGACCCCACCCGCTGTGTTTTTCTACTCTGAATCTCATTTCAAAATCTCCTGCCCAAGGGGTTTCCCAACAACTCCCTGTTTGAGTCAACCTTCTGATTACGGCACCCCTAGATGAGGAGCACAGAGATGTGAGGTGGAACCGGCCTGGCACTGTGCCCCAAAGACACTCCTGTGCCTCCACAGTCATTGACTGGCGGCATCTGAACAAACAAAGCTATGTCCCTCCTTATCTCCCGTGAAGGAGGAAAATGAGCAGGCTCTATGAAGAGAGCAGGGACAGCTGGATGGTGGGTACTCACCTGGCTGTGTGTTTCTGCTGGAGCCATGGTGCAGATCCGGCCTGTGTCAAGGAGGTCTCCAAGCAGCCAATGGAGTCCTCTGCCCTGAAGTGTCTCAGTGGAAACCATACCCGGAGCCTCTCGGGGGACCGTTCCGTAGGTTTAAGCCTTTTAGTCTCTCATCTGTGGCTTAACAGGGCCAGTTTCTGACCACGGGGACTCTAGAGCAAACACAGAGAGTTAGGTCAGTCTTTCACTCTGTCCTTCTGTGGTCCTGGGCAGCAGTTATTCTCCAGAGGAAGGTATTAGAGAGTTAGAGAGTCAGACTGGCAACCTGGGTCTCTGCATCATGTTTCGCCCAATAAACAACGACATTTTCACCTTGGTCTTTATTTTTAAAACCTATTCAAAGTCTTGGGACCAGCAGTTGGCATAATGGCTATGTCGCTGGACTCTCATGTAGTCGACCACGGTTTGAGTCCCAAACCTGGTCTTTTAAACTCATGCCGGGCACATGTCCGAGCATGCCTAAGATCCCGAGAGGAGAATGGAGGAGGAGGGATTGTGGTGTGGCCATCGCCCCGGGGAGTGATTTCTCGCTTTCTGTCTCTCTGTCTCTCTCTGTCTTTCTGGCGAACGCACACACCCTATACCAAAAAAACAAAAAACAAAAACAAAAAACCCCACAAAAACCCAACCTATTCAAAGTCTTCATTCTGCATCCAATTTCCAGAAAGCCTTGTTATTCAAATGAGCAGAACTTCTAGAGGCTCACACTCCCTCTCATTGAGGTGAATGCTGTGGACTAGAACTAAGCCTTGCTCTCCCATAATCTGAGAGAGAAGCACCTGATACCGTGGCAAGCAATTGTTTTTGGCATGTGGTGTCACTCTTGCTTCACCTTGGCTCAGCTCAAAGCTTTCAACCGACTGGTGGCAACAGAGGAGCAGAACTCTCCCTCCTTATTGTCCCATCACACACACATGCACACATGTACACACATGTATGCACACCCACGCTCTCCAGGACAGGAGCCTGGCTCTCCAGGAGGAAGGTCAAGTGTCGAGGCAGAAGGACAAGAGTCATCCCATGGGACAGGAGGGCTTTGGAGGAAGGGCCACGTGGAGAGGAAGGGGTGGGAGTGAGGGTGTCCCGTGACAGGGGCCTGGGTAGAACCAAAGCTTCTGGAGTTCATTGTTGACTTTATCAACACATTCTTTTTTTTTTGGAGAGGTTTTTTTGCTATAGGGCGCATGCGCTCACCAGACAGACAGAGAGAGACAGAGAGCTAGAAAGCGAGAAATCACCCCCCAGAGGGGATGGCCACGGCGCAATCCCTTCTCCTCCATTCTCCTCTTGGGATCTTGAGCATGCAAGCACATGTGCCCGGCGTGAGTTTTAAGCCACTGGGTCCCGGACTCGAACTGCGGTCGACTACGTGGGAGTCCAACGACATAGCCATTACGCTGGTCCCCACACGACATTAGCATTTCGCTGGGCCCCCCATTTTTTTTTTTTTTTTTAAGAGATATTTCTTGTTATAGGGCACATATGCTTGCTGGAGAGACAGAGAGACAGAGAGACAGAAAACGAGAAATCACCCCAGGGGGATGATGCAACCCCTTCTAATCCATTCTCCTCTTGGGATCTTGGGCACACACGCACATGCGACAGGCGTGAGTTTTAAGCCGCTGGGTCCAGGACTGGAACTGTGGTCCACTATGTGGGAGTCCAGTGATGTAACCATTATGTCATCTGCTGGTGCCTATCAACATATTCTTTTGTTTAAATTGTAATTACTATTATTATTTACCAGTTTGATCAGAGAGAGACAGAGAGAGAGAGAAAGTGAGAAAGCAAGCTACCAGGTCCAGGACTTGAACTGCAGTCAGCCATGTGGGAGTCCAGCACCTTTAATCACTACGCCACTTGCTGGCCCTCAACATATTCTTAAAAGTGAAAACTTCTTGGAAGACAATCTAAGAGCACAATCACGCACATGCACACGTAAAGTCACTTCGCATCAATTCGGCGAATTTTGGTGCAAGAAAACAGAAAGGATCCGTCCACAGCCATGGGCTGCTGCTCCCCTTTCCAGGGCATTAGCTACCGAGCCTGTGGAGTACCCAGTGTGGCGGTGCACAGATCTTTTTCTGCCAAGAGCACCCTTTGACAACAAAATGAATGGTATGTCCTCTTTCAGTTGGTCTCATTGATCAGCGTAATGAAACTTCTCCTCTCAGGCTCCGAGGCTACAGCTCCATCTCGCCCAGGCTCTGGTGTTTCCTTTTCCTCCCTCAAACAAGGATTTAATGAACTCCCACGACACTTCCGGGCTTACTCCAGAGGCTCTTTCTGCAAACTTCTTTTTTTTTTTTTTTTTGGAGAGGTTTTTGCTATAGGGCGTGTGCACTTGCCAGACAGAGACAGACAGAGAGATAGAAAGCGAGAAATCACCCCCACCAGGGGGAATGGCCACGCCGCAATCCCTTCTCCTCTATTCTCCTCTCAGGATCTTGGGCATGCACGCACACACACCCTGCGTGAGTTTAAGCCACCGGGTCCGGGACTCGAACCGCAGTTGACTACGTGGGAATCCAGCGACATAGCCATTATGCTAACTGCTGGTCCTCATCCTTCTGCAAACTTCTGACGTTGTTTCCAAAAGGCTCCTTTGTCCTTGAGGCTCTCCTGTGGGTAAATGACCTTCATGGGGACAGTGGTATGGTTCTTCCTGTGGGGTACACAGTCATAATATTCTTCTCGTAAGACATCCAAGTCTAGGGGACCAGCAGGTGGTGTGGTGACTAAAGCACTGGACGTTCCCATATGGCCGACTACGGTCTGTCTGAGTCTCAGACCTGGTGGCTTACTCTCTCACTCACTCTCCCTCTCTTTCTCTGTGTGTGTGTGTGTGTGTGTGTGTGTCTGGTCAAATTAAAATAAATAAATGAATAAATACAATTAAATAATTATTAAAAAAGAAAAAGAAAGAACGAAAAGAAATCCAAGTCAAGGGACGAGACAGGAGTGCAGCAGTAACACAGGATGCCCTGCGAGGCCGACCCACAGGGAACGATTCCCGGTTGATGTAGGGACCTTCCTGAGTATAGGGTATGTGTGTCCATGAGCTGGGGCTGACTGAGGCAGGTATTGAGACCCCTGGGGGTGCTGTCTGTCTCTCTCTTGCTCTTTCCTCATGGAAGAAATAATAAATAAACTTTAAAAAAGAAAAGAAAGAAGGCCAGCAGGTGGTGTGATGGTTAAGGCGCTAGACCCACAGAATGACTGATTACTGTTTGAATCCTAGACCCAGTGGCTTAAAAATCATGCCAGGTATGTGTGTGTGCCAACCCAAAATTCTGAGAGGAGAATGGAGGAGAAGGGACTGCAGCATGGCCATGACTCCTGGGGGCAGGGTTTCTCACTTTCCCTCTTTCTGTCTCTCTCTATCCCTTTCTGGCGCACACACACACACATACACCCTGTGGCAAACCCCTCCCCCTCCAAAAGAAAGAAAGGAAGGAAGGGAGGAAGGAAGGAAGGAAGGAAATTCAACTCCTTTGGCCACAAGAAGAGAAGGTGGTTCAGGGTGAAGCAGAACCTTGACAGTCTCTAAATATCACAGGCTTAGTCAAGAGCCATTACTCAAGAAGAGTTAGAGTGGACAGGGCTGCTCGTCCAAGTCACAGCTGTCCTTTAACCACGTGGATTCCTGCCTGCGGCAGCTCACAACATCATCAGCCTAAAAAGCACAGTGACATCTAGGTTACAAGGCTTGAGGTTGCCTTGATGTTCCCTGATTCCTGGCTAACAACTGGGCTGTCCTGAGCCAGAGCTCTCCCTAGAAGGTGGGGCTTCCCTGTCGCCTGTCATTCTGACGCCTCTCTGTACAGGTGAGCAGTTAACCACTTCCCTGCCGCCGCATCTTTGAAAACACCTCGTAAAAGTACATCAGAGGAAACAGTCTTTTCATCCCACCTGTTATTAGTCCCTGGAACTGGGGCTGGAAATACGCAGTTGTCCCAGAGATGATGGAGTGTTCGCAGGAGGAGGCAGTACAGAAGCTCAAATACCATTCACCCTATTTCTGGAGAAAAGTCTGTTGATGTCAAGGCCAGGGATGACCAACTCCAACCAACAGTCCAGGGGGAAGAGTAGCATTCTCTTTCTTCTCTCAGGCACCGTTCCCAGGGCAGTAAACAGAGACCCTCAACTGTAGGGACCTGTGGGCCGTGCCACGTGTTACTAAGAGCTGGGTCGCACTCTGGAGGTGGTTCCAAGCACTTCACAACCATTATCTCATCCACAGCACCAACATCCAAGGGAGCAAGCAAAGCAGGGGAAAGGCAGACGCCTTCTCACTTCGTCAAAAGCAAATGGGGAGGAGGATCTTTAGGGGAACCAGCCACTATGCCCTCATTAAGTCAGTGAAGAAGTACAAATGGGGGGCAGATGGGGCTGTGGCAGTAAAAATGGGGTGACCCACATGGGAAGGTTTCAGATTCTCATCCAGAGACCTCGCTGAGAACCATGGGCACCTGCGTGCCTGTAATCTGGGTCTGGGACCAGCACTTAGCGTAATGGCTATGTCGCTGGACTCCCACGTAGTCGACCACGGTTCGTGTCCCGGACCCGGTGGCTTAAAACTCACACCGGACATGTGTGCGTGCGTGCCCAAGATCCCGAGAGGAGAATGGAGGAGAAGGGATTGCGGCGTGGCCATCCCCCCAGGCAGGGTGATTTCTCGCTTTCTGTTTCTCTGTCTCTCTCTGTCTGGCGAGCGCACGCGCCCCATAGCAAAAACCTCTCAAAA